TGTTGCACACACTCTCACTCTCCTCTAGTAATAAGCCTCTATTACCAGTCTTTACTCAAATGGCTAATCAGTTATTATTGAAAGATCCAGTGAACTTGTTATGTGCCCAAAGGTTGTGGAAAGTGACTCTCATTGGTGAGGGGGCAGATGATGCAGGAGGAGTGTTTGATGAGACACTTGCTCAGATGTGTGAGGTGGGTATAGTTTATTGATGATATGGGCATGGTTTATTTATTTATTGGTAGGAATTGGAGTCTGTGACAGAAGTTAAGTTGTTGACAAGAACTCCTAATAGCATTAATAAATGTGGTTTTAATACTGACAGGTAACAACAAAAGAGTATTTGTAATACTGATTTATATTTGTTAGTTTATTTATTTATTTATTTATTTGTTCATTAATTTGTTTGTTTGTTTATTTATTCATTGAATTTATTTCAATTTGTTATTAGGTTTGTCTTTAATCCTGAATGCACTGATTTTAAATTGTTCAAGTTTTTTGGTATTTTGTGTGGAGTTGGTATCAGGACAAAGAGACCTCTTAATCTTCACTTGGCTCCTCCAATGTGGAAACTGGTAGCTGGAATGAACCTTACCATACAAGACCTTGAGGAGGTGAGAAATTATTATTATTATTAATTTTATTTATTTTTTTATTATTTATTTATTAGATTGACTTGTTATTCACGAGAGCGTTGGTTGGTATTAGAGATGTTGATAAAGGAGGAGTTACTGAAGATACTTTCTCTGAGGTACTTGTACAGTACATGTACTAATGAAGTACTTGTATTGATGTCCTTTTGCTAAATGTATGTAGAAAGTTTGAGCTGATCCTAAGTTCAAATTCTGGAGCTACTATCAGCACTTTTAAAATAAACAGATTTTTAAAAAGGAAAGGCTATAATAGCCCATTATAGCCCATAGTTTTTTCTAAAAATGGCTCCAAAATTATCCCCCAATTTTTATCACATTTTCTGATACATATTAATCCCCTTATCCTATGTAGAAAGTTTGAGCTGATTCTGACTTCAATTTTTGAGTTATGGCCATTTTTTAAAAACTCCAAATTTGTGAAAACTACCCAAGGCTATAGCCCATGGTTTTTTTTCCAAAAATAGCTCCAAAATTATCCCCAATTTTAATCACATTTTCTGATACGTGTTGATGTACTTACACATATGCTATATAGAAAGTTTGAGCCAATTCTGGCTTCAATTTTTTGAGTTATGACCATTTTTAAAAACTCCAAACTTTTGAAAAGTACCCAAGGCTATAGCCCATGGTTCGAAAAAATGGCTCCGAAATTACCCCCAATTTTTATCACATTTTCTGATACATATTGATGTACTTATGCTATATAGAAAGTTTGAGCCAATTCCGGCTTCAATTTTTTGAGTTATGACCACTTTTTAAAAATGCCAAATTTCTGAAAAGTACCCAAGGCTATAGCCCATGGTTTTTTCCAAAAAATGGCTCCAAAATCACACCCAATTTTTATTACATTTTCTGATACATATTGATGTACTTATGCTATGTAGAATGTTTAAGCCAACTCCGGCTTCAATTTTTCGAGTTATGACCACTTTTTAAAAACTCCAAATTTGTGAAAAGTACTCCAGGCTATTATAGCTTATGTTTTTTTCGAAAAAATTGCTCCAAAATCACCCCTAATTTTTATTAAATTTTCTGATACATATTGATGTTCTTATGTTGTGTAGAAAGTTTGAGTCGATTCCAAACAAATACTCTCAAGTTATGGGCACCTAAGAATAGAAAAACCCTTCCCTATTGTAAATCATGTTATACAATACTCTCCCTCTTCTTGTGTAGATGATTCCTCTTGAATGCTTTGAGGCTCAGAGTATGTCTGGACAGTTTGTTCCCATTGTTCCTAATGGACACGACATCAAATTAACTTTCAAGAACAGAAACGAATACTTTGAGAAAGCTCTTCATTTTAGATTACACGAACTAGACAAACAGGTTTGGTGAAAGCAATCTTAGATAATATTTTTTACACTAATACTCTTGTTGTTTTAAGGTTGCTGCCATAAGAGAAGGTCTATCACTGATTGTACCA